AAAAAGTTGTGCACACATACGCAAGATAATACAATCTGAATGGCTGCGGCTGGAGCGCGATGGATGGGTGAAAATAAAACTCGAAAACGGTTCGCAAGAATGCCAAAAGCATTTTCAACAACGCGCCTGTTCCTCGAAAGTATGTTGTTGTATTTAATTTCGCTTGGTGATAGTCTTAGATGAGCGTAAGTAGTCTTTTAGAGCAAAGGCATCATCGGCTAAAAGCACAAAAGGCGAGGGAGTTGACATTAAAGGGAGCGTGCATGGGGCTGGTATATGTACTTAATTTTTTTTTAATAGCGTATTTCAGGTCCGAGTTTAACCAAATTCCAGCATCACCCACTCTCCCATTAACACCGACATCAGCATAAATAAAACGATAGTGGGCATCAGCGATTGCCATCAATACAAATGAATGGTATCCTTTGTAATTGAAATACGTAGATCCTGCTTTCCTCACTGGCAGTATTCTGCAATGCTTTCCTGAGACGTTTCATCAGTTGAGTGAATTTAAAAGTGTTAATTGTTAGTTTACCATCTAAAGCGCCGATGCAGTTCGGGAATCCCCACATCTGATAAAAGTCTTTTGCAATATCACGCCAATCTTGCTCACTTGCAGGGAATTTCAAATACTCCTCCCTTAACGCCAAATATATTGCGGGAATTGATTCCTTTAAAATTCTGGAAATGGTTGATTGCTGAATTCGGAACGGCAATTGAAGTGACCTTTGGGTTTCACCTAATTTTGGAAATATGTACATACATATGTATGTCGGTACTAAAAATTACCAAGAAAATATTATATCTTACCAGTGGATAGATATCGCAATGTCAGCTGCAGCCGTTCCGCAGCTCCTATGCGGTTCCTGAATTTTGTATCCTGCTTGCTAATATAGGGGCGTACTTTTTCTAATAAGAATGCAAACTGAGCTGGAGTCATTCTTAAGATATTTTTGTGAAGGATTGAATCCTCGCACTCAATTTCCTTTAACAGTTTATGGCTAAATCCTATGAAAAGTATTTTTGATAATTACAAAAACGAACTATATACATGTGTATATAATGTGGAATTCGCAACTTACCTTCCAGTTCTCTTTTTAAAAGCCATTGCGCAGAATATTTTTTTTAGTCTTTTTCTTTTTCCTACGCTGTATTAAGGCAGCAGCGTTTAGCAAACAATTTGTTGCAATAGATAAAACTTGTATTTCCATTGTATGCTTAGAAAATCTCTCGTATGTCAAAATGCAAACAGCTGTGTAAAAAAACTAACGAAATACAGCCATCTGTCAAAAAAACCTAACGAAATACAAGTTGGCCGGACTGTTTTTAACAACCTAGTTTGTTTTTCGTTAGTTTTTCGTTTGTTTTTTGGTATATAGCTTACTCGCTTACACAAGTACTGAAATTGTATGTGACCTTCTCTTTCTTTCAAAATACAGCGTAAAATACACTCGAAATACAAGAAAAAAACGTAGTATCATACGGGCATTAAATAAAATGAGAATCCTTTGATTACACGTGTATGTTAAAGTTTTTGGATTCGGGTTATGCGCTTGGACACAACAACCGAAAATCGTTGTACATTAACTAAACCGGACCCAAGTTTCTCGATAAGGGACAACAAATATTCTTTTTTGCTCGTTTATATAAAGCAGTGGATAAAAATATTCGTATATGCGAAAGGCAAATTTATCTGTTTAAATGAACACCACCGATATTTCTTGCAAACACACATCGATTTATAAATTTTATTTCCCCTCCGACACAGAATTGTTTTCGTACAAAATTATGCAAAAAAGCTTACTCGTTCGTTTTTAGGCATGCCATTGTTACGAATTTCGATTTTTTTCCGTAATGAATTCAACAAAAACTAATGCAGCGTTTTTGCTGCATTTAAAATGCAGCATTTAGCACTTTCGAACATATGTTTTCGAAGAGCGTTCATGCTATCGCATTTAGCAAATGTACATTTACGCGAGTTCGAAATCGTATGCTTTTGACAAACAGCCGTGTTCCAGTCGCTTATTCAGATCCGTATCCATTACGATAAATTCTCACGGAAAAGATAATGTGCAAAAATCCCTACTGAAAAGGAAAAATAAATTCTAAACCGAAAATTCAATACAAAAACCTGAATTGTTTTAACCATAACCGAACATTTGTTTGTGTATATATTCATTTGTCGGTGCTGCCAATTATATTTTCCACACCTAATTAGGAAACAAAACAAACAGAGTTGATCACAAATTAATCCAGATTTCTATCAGCATCATTTCGATGTTGAATTTGCGTAACTTTTCTTTATCCAAATAATGTAAAATAATAAATGAAATCTCGATCGGCGATCACTGAAACGCAGCTAGCAGTTGTATACTCGAAAAAGCAATGTTGCCACTTTTTCTCATTAAACCATGTTCGAATCGTGGAAATTTTGGAAGATCACAGGGATGCTTTTAGCATTTAGATTCTAAATGCAAAGATTGAGTTGCATTTAGTTGCATTTAGATGACGAATTTTGTATGGATAAATGTACATTTAGGGCCGGTTTCTCCATCTCTGGTTAACACTAACTCCCCGGTTAAACATTGTTATCGACGTTCTAACTCCATGCATATAACAGGGAGTCGATAAGGTCGGTAACGATGTTTACCGGGGGATTAGTGTTAACCGGAGATAGAGAAACCGGCCCTTAGAGTAGCATTTAGAGCTAAATGCGCTAAATGTACATTTACGCGTAAGCAAAAACAGCCCATAAGATTCGAAATAGGATGAGGTTGGAAAGCCTTAACTCAATAGTTCTAATAAAGTGTTATATGAAGGCTAATTGGTTCTGCTGCAAAACGTTTCCAATATCAAACATTATGTTATCAAGGTTGAATAGCTCAATATATGACAACAACAGAAATGTAAATAATTAAGACACTACAGGTGATTTTAAAAAAATTGTGGAAATAGCTGATCTCGCCTTATTATAGGTTTTTATTTAATTTCTAGCGCCGAGCTCTTAAAAGCGGATTGTGCGATTAATCAATGAATGTGATTTATTATAAATTCAATTATTGCGCAGTCCTATTGAAAATGTATTGAAACAAATGTTTTTAAAAAGTATGCGTATTTTAAAGAAAATAGTTTGTACATCACTATTATATAAGTGATTTGTGTTACTTATTATTACCCTCTGAAGGTATTATATTCGTTTTTGGTTTTGAAAACTATATTATAACAAGATCTCATTTTTAAAATAAAAGACTTGTTAAATTGATTTCAGGAATTTTATTAAAAAAAAATGCGATTTTTGGCGATTTTTTTTCAGAAACTGCGCTTTTTATGTAAACAATCTGGACACCCTGCTAATGAGCAAACCTTTGGGCCCTGTCACACGGTCAGTAATTATCAGAATATTTGGATCGCGATCCATATTGATGGATTGATGGATCGCGCACGAATGCTACATGTTCAATGTTTATCGCGTCAGTATATGCATAATTTTTGTGCTGAAAGCTTATTATGACGCCAGAAAATATTTCTATTTTGAGCGTATAAGTTACAGATAATGCATTCCACAATTATTTTAAAATTTCCAATGTTAATTAAAATTTTTTGAATTTCTTTTGAAAGGTTTTAAGCGCCGAGGGCGCAGGCAGAGCGAATACGTTTTCGATGTTCGCATTATGAGAGTAAAAGATGTACTGGCGAAATGTATGGATCGCGTTTTGAAAGTACTACACGTTCAATATTTATTGACGGTATTGCGATCCGCGATCCAGATTTCAAATTTTTTAGAAATTTTGCGATATGGATCGTAATCCATCAATACTGCATGCTACACCGTCAATAAATATCGCGATACTTGGATCACGTCAGTAAATACTGACCGTTTGACAGAGCCTTTAATTATTGAATCATGGTTTCAACCATGGATTCACACTGACATTAGAAGAGTGCTGCCACATCTAAGAAAATAACAATAAAAGAGACCAGTTCTTATCTTACTCGTTTTTGTGTTCAGCGTTAAATTAGTACTAAAGGACATAGTAACCAGTAACCATAATAGACATCACTGGGCCGACAGCCCCAGGTTTACCACACAGAAAGGGAATTCTAGTTACCTCATCCTTTCCCAAGGCTACATCATACCAAAAGGAGAATTCTATTTGGTAAGGGTTATATTCCTTAACCGCGGCCGAAGGCCGCCTACGCAGAAAGGAATTCTATGCAAAAATAATTTGGTACCCCTGTAGTGCGATTCCCATTTTTCTTAACGACCGATATTCGTTATTGATAATGAACGACGTTTGTAGCTTGCAGTAGCGAATAGGCTATTCTCAAAAACACACTTAACGACAGAATTCGTTAGACATGTCGATAAAGAAGTTTACGACGATTGTCGTTAATTACAAAGCCGAATATGGCAATATTGACGATTGACACTCAATATTTAAAAGAAACTTGTTATTGTTGCGCGTATTATTGTGTCGGAATTGTTGTTTGTGAATACAATGGCTGCGTTTCTTTATACATTCCGGATAATCTCATTTCACAGCCGGAATAAAAAGAATGCGTTTGAAATATACGTTAACATATCATCAGGAACGTTCTAAAGAATAAGTAAACGAAAAAGTTTATTCCAAACGTTCAGAATGAATAAAGAAATTCAGCCAATATGAAAAAAAGAAGAGCAGGAGCTACTACGGAGCAGTACCATGCGATGCTGGACTGCTTATTTGGCAATAACGGCCTCGTGCAAGGCGAATTTAATAAGGGGGTATAAGCCGTATATAAGTAAAAAATTACAAATTATACGCACAATTACAGTATGAATTACAACAAACACATCATTTTGACATTATGCTTTCCACGTCTAAAAATTCAGCTTTGGCTCTAGTTTTCGACGTAAGGGTACTTGAAAATTTCCTTAAATTTAAAGATTTTTATAAATAACTCCAACAAAGTCCGTTAAAGTCATTTTACCAAACTTTTTCACGTGACTTTTTTTTTTAATATAACCTTCACTATAAAAAATAGCCATGTTAAACATTTTATTGAAACAACACTAAAACTGATTTATTTACAAACAAGTTAAAGTTGAAGCAAATGTTCAAGTATTGTTATCTCGAAAACTGGAGCCAATCTAACAAAATTTAGAATGCCCAATTAAGTGAGATAACTTTCAAAACCTTAGCCAATGTTTTCAACTTGCACAGTGTAATAAATAAAAGGAACAATAATAAAAAGCACATCTATATGAGATAAATTTTTATTTATGAGTTTTTTTTTATGATAATAGTTTGCTTACCGATGAATTTGGCCTAATTTTTCTCAATAAAAACTTGAAACAATTTTATCGGTAGGCTTTTCAACGGCAAAATATTCGTAGCTAGGTTATCGACAAATTTCGTTAGACAACTGTCAAAGCTTCCGACAATATTCGCTAAAAGCGTGCTTGAGAATTGCAGTTAACGAAACTTGTCGGAATCGTTAGCTAACGATACGAATATTGTCGTTAAGAAAAATGGGAATCGCACTACTGGTATGCCAAACTAAAATTTTCCCCTGAATGTTTTAAAAAATTCTCGCATTTAATTCTGCAAGAAATTTACTTTTATATATTAAAATGTGCAAACCCCCGTCAGTAAAACCAATTCGTTAAAAATCAAGACGATTTTTAGCGGCTTTTCCCAAAAATTCGGATAGAAAAGGTCAAAATTAAGATAAAAATGGTAAAACATCGAGGTATCGTTTTTATAACCGATGTTTTTTAATATCGATGTTTGTTGTGGGAGCATCGATGTTTTTGAAAGTGATGTTGCATCTCTATGCATAAATGTGATGTATATTTTCAGCAAAGACATGCTCCTGAAGCACTGTTCTATTTACACTTTTCGAAACAGCTGACAGCTGTCAAATAGCGCGCCTCGGTGGGTAATTTGCGGCGAATTCGCCTTGCTAGAGAGAGTGTATTTCTTAACTAAATTCGCCTTGCTAAAGCCGCTTACAATTTGTCATTCGGGTCTACTCTGCAATGTCGGTGCTGTTCTTTTCTTGAAAAATTAATAAATTTTACCAGGAAGATATTGGTGAAAGTACATTTTTAAAGGAATGTAGTAAATCCAAAACATTGCTATCGTGTCGATAAAATATACCCTGCACTATATTGTTGCTGTGGTGTTAATTATACTCAAGTAAAAGTCAACGCGTGGCTGAAAATGGCTATATGGTTATGTGCATCTAGATATTAGTTTTAGCAACCTGTGATTTTTCGAGTGGCACTTGGATTAACTGGAGTCAAGGAAAAGTGCAAAAAAAGCAGTGCCTGTAACATCATATTTCTTTTCTGGCGAAGAGACAATCGCAAGGTGGACTAGTCCTTACAACAAAGATACATACCTATCAATATTTGCAGCGTCACAATGGTAAGTACCCTCAATTAGCGATGATCGTATGGGAAAAATTGGGAAATTGCATTCGTTTGCATTGTTTTGTGTGGAATTCTACAGAGGACAGACGTTTTCATTTGACTGGGTTTTTCTAATAGCTTCGTATCACATTCTTGGTGAGCAGAGCATTGGACTTTTTAAGACAAGTGGCCAATTTTTAGCGAATCTAATTTTTTTCTTCGCATTGCTTCGGCTTCGGGTGCGACTTTATGCAATAGTCGTCATTATTCTTGATTTGTAGCGTTTTTTGTATAAAAAATAGACCCATGTGGCCATGGCTGTTGGCTACTCCTCCAGAGTACTAGTTCTCTCTCGCGCGCATTGGCATTTCAGCAAGAACTTCGCTGCGAGCGATTGCTTTTTAGATGGTTCTCTGCCCAATTCGCTCGTATGACGACCGTCAAAAAGCGCGCGCGCGCCAAATTCATCCAGTTGAAATGTTGATAACTTGTATAACTTACTTCTAATTTTTGTCATCTTAAAAAAATTAGACTCCTGGAGGTATATGCTTTTATTTGATACCACATGCACATAGGTTTTCATTCATGAAATTTGTAAATTATCGTTTAAAAGTTGCCTTTCAAAACGCGTAATCTACGTGGTGGGTTTTCCGTATATATTTGTTTAGATTGTAAAAAGTGCTGCCGTCTTCGTTCGACTTAAGTCAATGGAATGTTTTGCGCTCTAATATTTATGCCTACTTGATAAAATATAAGCAGACTGTCTACAATTTGCATTAAAATTTCAAATTGGTTCAATCAATTAATTGTATGAATTACGCAATAAATAGGAGCGCTCCATATTTCCCAGAAATAAGCCCTGTTCGCGTATGCACTATCCAGTAAATCCAGTAATAATTTTACTGGTTTTTTACGGGATATCGTTTTCGTACGCAAAAACTTGCAAGAAACTAGCAAAAGAGGGGAAATTGAGAGAGAAGAAATGACAGCTGAACTTGCAAGTTTTACTGGATAAATTTTTACCAGCAATTATTTGCTAGTAAGAAAAACAGCTGATGGCATGATGCCTAATGTAATTTACATTAACAAAAGAATTTTTTGTGGTGCTTTTAGAGTTGCAATTGACAAAATAAACCTGCTTAAATATATAATAAGATGGGAAATACTAGTTTTCTTAGAAAATTGCATCGGAAAATAACAAATTAATAAGCTGTTCATAAAACTAGCAACTTCTTGCTGGTTTTCCGTTTTCGTACTTTCTTACATATTTCCCTCATTGGGAGTAAATATTGGCTTGCTCTCCGAAATTTGGTTACTGGCAAGTTACAGGATATTTTTTTGCAGGAGAATACGAAAACACAACTATACTCAGAAATAGTCAGAAAAAGTCCGAAGTAGTCAGATTTAGTCCAAAAAGCGTTCCTTAACTCGGAAATGACAGCAAAAATGAGAGAGCAACACTCAGGGACAGTGACTCTCATCAGTCTGAAGAAGTCAGATTTAAGGTGTGTACTCGTATTGAGAGGACAAAATTCTCCAGCAGCAAAAGTTCTGAGAATTTAGCAGCATTCGCTCTCAAAGAGACGAAATATCAACAGAAGTACGAGAACGCAAAATTTGCTAAAACTTGCAACCTTCGAAACAGCTGATCACTTGCACAGTTGCCACTGGTGATTAATTTGGCAATTTATTTTCTGTTTGGTACATTTTCCCCCGATTTGGCGTTTATACAATTGAATAGTTTTCGATAAGAAAAACCTTTTTTAAATACAAATTAATTATATCGGAATGAATAAGTTATTTTTCTCATAATTATTTGTGATATCACATGGTGACGCATTCAAAAACAAGAGTATCTCCTCCAAACACCCATCATTGATCCAAAAACAATGTAATAGATAAAGCTACAGATGTAGCTTTGAAATTCTCTGAAATTGCTGTTAATTCTGCTACTACCCAGCCGCCAATAGGTGCAAATTGGATTACTGTGGAACGAAAGAAATTGTCCAAGCAGAGAAAAATTGTGGTAGGACGTAATAATAACAATGATCTGGGAGTAGTAGCGCGTCATAAGTGGCTCCATTTATCCTCGTTTAAGCCATCGGTTACTGAAGATGATATTGCAAACTATGTTGCGAATCAGGTCAGCATTGATAAGCAACACATTGCCTGCTACAAGCTGATAAAAAAAGATGCCAACGAGAGCTTACTGAAATATGTCAACTTCAAATTAGGTGTTCCGGAGTATGTATATTCTAATATCCTAAAGCCGGAAATCTGGCCAACCAACGTAAATGTTCGACAGTTCCGTTTTTTTTCAAAAGCAAGTAGGGCAGCTCCCCTCAACGTAGCTGCTCCACCCGGGCCAAAAAAAGCGAATACGAATTTATTTTGAAAATGCCTCGGGACTCCGATTGGATTGTATCGGTCGCCTGACAGGCAAAAATCTCCAGACAGTGTATTTTGTGATTATTTTAAGGAAAAAATTGAACAATTAAGTGAGACGGCTACAGAAACTCTGATAATGGGACATTTCAACATCGACTGGCTGGTGAATAGTTCTTCCCGACAACAAATTTGTCAATCAGTAACAGACAATGCATTTAAACAAATAGTATTGGAGCCAACGAGAGTATCTCGAACCAGTGCACCCTTGATAGATTATGTATTGACAAACATTTCTGTCATAGAAGCAAACGTTAAGACTGATTATAAAATAAGTGATCACGAATCCATAGAAATTAATATAAAAGTCGGACAGCTAAATCGCAAAAAACACAAAACCACTATAAAAAATTGTATTTTTAACAAAGCTATATATTGAAGAAATAGCAAACAAAAGTTTTGCAAACATTAAGCAGAATGCTAATAACTTGAACGAGATGGTTGACCTGTTCAGTGATAAATTAAAAGAGCCCATTCAGAATATGGTTATAACTAGAACAGTTACAAACATAAGGAATTTTGATGGGTGGTTTGGAAGAAAATTACGCAATATGAAACAAAGAAAAATTCAATTATATAATGCAGCAAAATGGTCCTGCTCTTTTATGGCCTGGCAAAAGTATAAACAGTATAGGAATTTCTATGCTAATGAACTTCAAAGAGCGCGAAATAACTACATATCCAAAAAAATTGATGCATCAAATGACCAAAAGATAATGGTGAAAGCAATAAAACAATTAGTGTTAAATGAGGAGAGAGCCGAAATATGCAAAATAATCGTAAATTCCAAAGAGCAAAAAAAATAAAGCAGTAATTGCTAACGAACTAAACAGGTATTTTGTAACAAGCATCGAGGACCTCAATAGAAACATCCCCCAAGTGCCCTATACCAGCAATATAAAACCCTGTGATACGCAATTTAAATTTAACCCCTTAGAGTTAAACGACATCAAAAGCATACTTAAATCCATGAACAATAAGAAAGACTATAACTTTATTTCGGCAAAAATTATACTGAGCGTATTTCATATAGTAGGTCCAATTCTTCTTGAAATCATTAAAGCATCTCTACGATATGGAGATTTTCCCAACAAGTGGAAAAGGTCAATGGTAGCGCCTGTGGAGAAAGTAAAAAACGCGGTTAATCCAGAAGAATTTCGTCCAATAAATATGTTAATGACTGAAAGCAAAATACTCGAAAAAGTTGTTCATAAGCAATTAGAAGCCTATATGGAGAACAATCATCTGATCTCTGAACACCAATCGGGATTCCGACAACGCCACAGCTGCGAGACGGCGCTAAATTTAGTAGTATCACATTGGAAATCAGAAATGAACGATTGTATAGTTGCTGTATTTTTGGATTTCAAGCGAGCTTTCGAAACAATTGATAGGGATATCCTATTAGAAAAAATGAAGCGTTATGGAATTGGAGGTGTTGAAAATCAGTGGTTTAAGAGTTACTTAAGCAACAGATGGCAGTGCACCAAAGTCTCCGAAACCGTCTCGAGATCCTCGGCCATTAATGCTAGGTGTACCCCAAGGCGCAGTGCTTGGTACTTTACTCTTTTTTAATATACATAAATGATATGGAAAATATACTACAGGGAGTAAGGATCTGCCAATTTGCTGATGACACGTTACTGTATACGACCGGAGATTCATGTTAGGAATGTATTACTCGGTTAAATGAAAACTTGAAAAATGTCAATATATATTTAAATATGAACAAGCTAAAACTTAATGTTAGTAAAACGAAAGCAATAATAATAATAATAATAATAATAATAATCAACGGAGAAGCGCATGATGATCTGATTATCAACGATGAAATAATAGATAAGGTCGATGAAATTAAGTATTTAGGTATTGTCATCGATAAAAAATTAAATTTCGATAAACACTTAGATTACATTTGTAGTAAAATTTCAAAAAAAAATTGGATTTTTCCAAAGAATGCGTAGGAAAGTGTCTATAAACAGTGCCGTAAAGATATTCAATGTTATGATTAAGCCACATTTATTGTTCGACCATACTATTCCTAGGGTCTAGTGAGATGAAAATCAGAATGCAGAAATTGCAAAACAAAGCCCAGCAAGAACAGTGATAGTCATTTGATTAATCATGTGTTACTCAATGGTGATGGAAATGTCCATCAAGCACTCCCATCACGTTCTTAAGGCCAATGTGAAAAAAATGATGGAAACAAATGTATACGTGTAATTTTTTATCTTCTTTCAACTTATGAATTTTATGGCCTTATTTAAAATATAGCTGAACTGCTTACTCCACCGTATCTCGACAGTCAACGATGACGTAGATACCTATCACGGCTGATCCATCAAACTTGATGTACAGACTTGTCACTACTGATTAATGAAATTTGATGTATGAACATATCACAGTTGACCGATCACACCTGATGTATAAACCCATCATGGCTGATAAATCATATTTGATGTGCAAACCTATCACAGGTGAGCAATCATGCTTGATTAGGGCTGCCAGATATCTCTGTTGCCAAACCGGGACACTTAAGGAAGGGCCTCTCGCTCCCTTCTCTTTCATTTC